GACTCATGGCTCTTGGACAAATTGCAAATGGAGGTTTTCAAGCCAGTTCCCTAAAAACATTTAATCAGTCTTCTAGCCCAGGGCAGACATGGAACCCAGTTATGGTTCTGGAACAACCTTTGTTCGGCACAGCAAAAAGTAGAAGTATCTTTAGCTCCACAACACGGTTCTAGCCACTTCTGCAAGGACAGAGATATCAATAATGACAGTACTGGGAATCAGGATTTTAAGCAGGAAATGCTGGCATCAGCTGTATTTTTATCGTAACTCTGTCATAGGTTTTGAGCTTTTCCAAGTACCCATGACCCAGACAACAGAACTTCTTCCTTAAAGTAGGTACCTTCGGTTTTCTTCTACAAACCTCCTATGGAGTTATTCAAATGGTGAAGAGCAGCAAAGTATTCTTCAAGACTCTTTAAATTATTTTTAACTGTTTTAATAATGAGTGTGAGAAAATCAGGAAGAATGATGCCAAAGGCTTTCCTGTATATGAAAAATAGGTGGGTTAAAGAGGGATATTTGCTTATGCCTCTCAGAGGGACACAGCCACTCTGTTACACTCTTGCTGCCACCAGGTCTCAGCCTCCAGATACCTGCAACCCAGCACTCCTAATCTGTATTCACCCTGACAACTCTTACTTGATTACAGTTTTTGATTCTCATTGCTATTCTTGACAAAATTTTATCCTATTTTCTCTTCTCATCTGCTCATCTCGGAGCCTCAGCCTTCTTCTCCTACTCTCTCCATCCTAGCATGGGGATCTGGACATGAGCTAAGCAGTGGCTAAGATGACATACGTAGTTGCCAGGATCATTACTGAAGCCTATACATTTTCTCTCTGCAGCTATCTACTTCTATTGTACTAGAATTGCTATTTTCTCTGCTTGTAAATATTTTGAATGTAGCATGACTCATGTTTATCTTTTTGCTTCACAATGAAATAAAAGCAATAACAGTAAGTTCTAATTTCGTAGATAGGAGTCAAGTTCTTTACATATTGTCCAGGACATTATTGCATGCTTCCACACGTGATAAGACTGGAATTGAAAACTAGCTTCTGACCCTACCAGATCCATATTAAAGATACGTTCATATTAAAATTGATATTTTTATATTAAATGTGCAGAAAACCCTCCTTTTTTGATAATACAATTGAATTTTACATCAAACATTAGTTCTGACACAGTCAAGTTATTAGTTACAAATGTAACCCTGCAAGACTGGTTTTACTGAAATTTCAGACTTAATCAAAGGCCTTTTTATTTGGAAACATCCTATACTGAAATCCATCAGCTGAACCAAACGTGTAATTTCAATTAATTTTCAAAGAGACTGCATGAATTTTGATAAGATATTTAATAAATTTAGAAACACACTTTCCATTTCAGAGTTTATTGAGAAATATATGATTCATCCAGACATACAAGTTGGAAGAATTGTGTCAGAGTTGTGAAAATGACATATTAAAATTGTGGAATTCTACATAAGAAATTTCTAGTAAAGATTAAACTCACTTTTAATCTCCCAAATCTTTTTTTCCCTACTGCTAACAGCAGTCTACATACCCACAGCCACATATATTGTGGAAATTATAAATATGGCTTAAAATTAAAGAAAAAACGTACTTGTGAACTTGCTGTATTGCTAAAATTTCACTGGTATTTTTTTCACATAGTGATAAAATAGCAAGGAAAGACAAAATGTCTGAAGTATTTTATGAATTTCTGGAGTCTGCTTAATTTTTGTTTATAATTTATTACTTTCTGGGACTCTGTCACCTGGTTATCCTCAATCAAGTCCTGGGACATCATGTCAAGTCCTGCACATGTCTGCACATTTTTTCTCCCACTTTCTATGAATTATTCCATTCTGCCCTTAGAACTGGGGACTTTTTTCTAAAATTGTCCCAAGAACTATTCTCCCTATCATTCAAACTCTTTACACACCTCATTATGTTTAGATATAGTTTTCAAAGTTAGAGTGGTAAAATGGCAAGCCTTTTCTTGTATTAAAATGTGAACATAAAATGCAAAAATCAGAAATGTAAAAGAAAACCACTTAAAATTATACTATTCTTAAAAAAGTAGAGAAGCGAAGAAAAAAAAGGATCACACTATATTTCTAAGAATACTGAAATGCTGGAACATCCTATTTTCGTCATACAGACCTCTGCTATTTAGTCAAATAATAGTGGTAGCAGTGGTAGCAGGTTGCTATCATCCAGATGGATAAGCAGTAGAAAGATATGGGACAAATTTGCATACAATTCTTGACAGATGAGGAATGATGAGATCTTAAACTTTGGAGAAAAGTATGATGTAAGGGCTCCTAAAGTTTATAGCCCCAACTCCTCCAGCCTAACAAGCACACACGGAAGATTGTCTCTATCCTCACACACTCAAAGTACCTGAGCTCCACAGTAAGATGTCAAAATTTCAGTGCCTTTTAAAAAAAAGACATCTACTGGCCTAGTCAGCAGAATAATTCCCAGAGTTTCACTGTCTGTATTGACTAGGTTAACCACAAAAGAGTTTAGGTAGATGGGGCTTGACTTGCTTCCTTTCCCATTGTCTGAAGCTACCTGAGACATTCTTAGGCCTCCAAGACCTCTGACAAGTATTGTGGATATAACACAGGACCTGGTGCCTTTATGGACTGGTAGATGGAGGACAGGTCAAGTACCTCAGGGTGCCTCAAATGACACTAGACTTCTATGTTGAAGCAATTAAATCAAAAGTCTAGCTCACATACAAATGCTTAAATTTAGTCTTAATCTTGAACAGAATGGCATCCTCCGCTTTCCTGATCTTCTGTCCAAGCTGTGGGCCCAGTCATCATTACAGGTTCTTCAGTGCAAAGTGTCTCTGAGATTTTAGTTCCTATGCCAGCACCAGCTACTGCTCCTAAAATTCATTTCAACTAAGCTCAACAGCAGCTCTTGTCCCTAAACTTACCTCATGCCCAGCCCACGAACAGATGATTTGGTGACCTTCGGGAAGGTCAAACAGCATCATATGCCATAACACATCATGGCATATGGAAATAGAAAACATCCTCAAGCCTGGAAGCACAGATACACAGATCCTGCTTGAGGCACACTGGCAGACAGAGCTGCTCCCTGGACTGGCAGGAGTGTAGCCACATGGCCCATCTAGGCATGAGAATGCTCATCCTGAAGAAATATTTAGCTACCTAATTACTCTGTATAAAAGATATGAACCACACTCCTTCAAGATCTTCAACTTTAGCCACATTTCTGCAGCTTTTTACTCTCTTTGCATATAACACACCCTCAACAGAAGAGAAAGCATAATGCCAAATCTCAGATGGCTTTTTTCTTTTTTTTTTTAAAGTGCAAAATAGAACTTCCATCTTATGTTCTTTTTAGAAATAATCTGAATCTGATGGAACCTTTAGCAAAGGACCTGGATGAAGAGTTAGAATGTACCCTCAGCAAGTTTGCTGATGACACCAGACTGGGAGGTGTGGCAGATACACCAGAAGGCTATGCTGCCTTTCAGCATGACCTGGACAGGCTGGAAAGTTGGGCAGAGAGGAACCTGATGAGGTTCAACAAGGACAAATGCAGGGTCCTGCACCTGGGCAGGAACAACTCCATGTATCAGTAGAGGCTTGGGGCGGATCTGCTGGAGAGCAGCTCTGCAGAGAGGGACCTGGGTGTACTAGTGGATAACAAGTTGACCATGAGTCAGCAGTGTGCCCTGGCTGCCAAGAAAGCCAATGGGATCCTGGGATGCATTAGGAGGAGTGTGGCCAGTAGGTCGAGAGAGGTTCTCCTTCCCCTCTACACTGCCCTAGTGAGGCCCCCTCTGGAGTATTGTGTCCAGTTCTGGGCTCCCCACTTCAAGAAAGATGAAAAGCTGTTGGAGAGAGTCCAGCGGAGGGCTATGAGGATGGTGAGGGGACTGGAGCATCTCCCCTACGAGGACAGGTTGAGGGAACTGGGCTTGTTCAGCCTGAAGAAGAGAAGGCTGCGAGGGGACCTAATAAATGCTTACAAATATGTCAAGGGTGGGTGTCAGGAGGATGGGGCCAAACTCTTTTCAGTGGTG